GGGGGGGGGTGTCCACGGTACATGTACTTTGCTGGAGCGCTCTTTTGGAACCTAAAATGACATATAGATCTAGATTTTAGATCTATATCCATCACTTTAACGGAATTCTTTCTCTATAGTTTATGTGTATAAGTACCGGTTAATCTAAACAAGGATATAAATCCCCCACCAAAAAACGTGTTTTGAACTCGGACAATGAACCTTTCTGTGGTGACCACAATTTGCATGGGCTGGGAAGAAAGGAGAAGCGTTGGATTGGACTAGCAGCTGACGAAATGTACCCACTACGTGCATACTTACTGAGAATGTTTTGTTAGGCACACAGACGAGCTCTGCGGAGCAGGTTTATCTGTAAAGGCTTTTCAATGGGTACAGTCACTTGCTCCTCGATCTCAAGTGGTCAGAGCATCCAATTATCTTTAAAAAGCTTGCCTATACATGATCATCCTTTCCTTATTCTTAATACAGCATTGCTACTAGTGTTGTTTTATAGCATAGTTTCAATATGCCGCTGTACGTACTTCTGAACACGAGGGTGCGGTGGCAGCTAGAGCAGTGCGCTCGTCTCTGAAATGGAAAGTCTGGGTTCAAGCCTCGGTTCGGACACAGATTTTTTTCGCCCCCTTTTACAGATAAACCCAGTAGTAATGGATACCTGACTTCGAGTTGGGGAAGTAAAGGCAGCGTGGAAAGGAACTGGCCTCCCTACCACAATATGCCGAAGGCCCAGGAAGTTGTCTCACTACAGTAGTCTCCGCCTAAACACACGCCATACAAAAGAACGCTCCGCTCAAACACTCTCTTTCGTCATCTGACAGGTTTTTTGACTATACAATTTAGACGTACAAATGCACGGTCACTCCCTCTTTAACGCACGCTCTGATCCACGAAACGCACAAAGCTTAACAAGGGAAACTTTCACTACAACCTGCACAGCTTGCATAAGACAAGCCTAGAAAATCTGATTTTTGGGGAGACTGCCCCTCACGCTGAACAAAGAGAGAACAGCGTTTTCACACCCAACTTTCCACAGACGCATAGATCTAGGTCTAGGACTGGTCGGTGAAATGTTGGAGGGTTGGGGGACTAAAATATTTTTTGATTGGGGAAATGCATCTTTCAGAGAAGGTTCCTGACTGGTGTTTGGGTGACTGCATGTAATGTTTAGTGAGATCTGGGCCTATGATGCACAACCCGCATGAATGCTGTAAAACACTAGATAGGCCTCTATAGGATTGAAGATTAGTCAAGTAAACCTAATCAGCTTCATTCGAAGAACTTGTAACGTACTTGTTCAACGAATCACAAGAGAAATATTTCTTTGAATGTAAGAGATCTATGATTCTGATGTCGTCCATTAATTTACGGTCGGGGGTGGTGGCTTGGAAAGCCACGTAGCTGGGCCGTCGTCTCTTTGACACCAACAGTTCCGTCTTGGCCTATCAGTTCCCGACATTTTATGGTGCATAGTTATTATTTACACCGAGTCTGTCTTTCTGCCCCCCCCACACACCCTACCCATTCAACGCCTTTGTATTCTTAACCGCAGTTGGAGAAGCCTTCACAAAGCAGTCATGTGTTTTGTTTCGTCACATTATTGGCCAAAGTGACCCCCACACCCAAAGGAGGTCACTAGAATATCAAGGAATTGAGAGGGGTGCATCCCTTCCTCCCTTTGCAAAGGATCATATAAACGCACGCTCCGTATAAACACACGCTAAGGAGCCCCCCCGAGCACCCTGCGTTTAGGCGGAGACTACTGTAATCAGGCAATCTTCAATGTCCAGATCAGATGCAGGAACAACTTTACTTTTTTTACTTCTTGAACCTCATGCTCACCTCGAACAATAAGTCAAAAAGTGAAAGCAAGACATCCACCTATCAGTATTGGAAAACCATTTTCCCACTTGACAATGGGTGGCCATTTGTGAAAATATGGACTGTACTTTTTGTATTACATGTATAATATATGTCACAGCGTGTTGGAATCAGGCGCTCATCAATTTTGGGGCATTTAGAGTTATTGGTATCATCTTAAAGCTTTTTCATTTGTCTTGCTTCAGATGAAAAAAATACCAAACGATCTTGAATGGAAATCAAGATATTAGCGATTGGAGGAGGTGGGGGGTAATTTGGTTTAATTAAGAGGTAAAATTATAGAGAAAATTGCTGCCAATGTTTGGTGATTTCCATAGTTTGAGAGTCCTTTAGAACTGAAAATTTGCATTTCTTGTGTCTTTAATCAACGTTTTATAGTAAAATCCACAAAGAAATTTTTTTTTTACATGAACATAAAAGGTGTCGCTCGAAAGAAAAAAAAACTGATATAAATTACCTAACCGGTGGAAAAAGGAGATTTCTTTGATTTTAACATTTTGACAAGCACCTGATTTCACCACGATGACTCACACATATGTTCTGTTTTTCTGTTATACCTAGGAGGACACTCGGAAGTGGTCAAACTTCTCTTAGAAGCTGGAGCAGATGTGAATCAAAAAGTGTACTCAAACACGACAGCTTTACATGCAGCTGCTCGAAGTAAGTACTACATGCCTCCCACAAATAGACCAAAACGCAAATGATTGCCTTATTTAAATTAGCAATTTAAGTACCATATTTATGCCTGTGTACTAGGCTCCATGAAAACTCCTCTACTAGCTAAAAGCAATATAAATGTATCATTAGAAGTCCCTTTCCTAAAAGTCCATAACATGCTTCCTCAAAATGTGTTTTGTTAAATCATATTTCTTATTTGGTCATGTTGATGACCTAATATAAGTACAGGTAAAGAAAGAATAGAACAAACTCATAATGGGAAGGGTTGACTGTGAAAAGACGCTTAAAATGTTTTTAGTCTGTATATGATGTAGCTTGTGCATGGTCTTTTAGGAAGGAGACAGTCCTCTGTTTTGACCTGGCCAGTAACAGTAATAATGGTTCATCAGTCATCAACTGTTGATGACCTTACTTTAAAACCTAAGGATGAGAAGACAGAGGAGTTATAGACCTTGCTGGCTACTGAATGTAGTAGTAACAGTAAATGCATATACTAGTACTACTATACTAATACACCATGTACAATATGGGAGTGGGAGGAAAGAATGAATGATAAGATTACAGCAGCACATCGACACAGTAATTGTCATTTAGTGCTAGGAAAAAGTAAGACAGACAGACAGAAACAACCGAGGGAATGTAAAGAAGTAGGACCTACTAGTGGAGCCCTCCTAACATCTGCAAAGTATGACAGAAAATAGACCGACACAACAGAGGGAAAATAAAGAAGTAGGTCTGCTGCCACAGATCAGTAGTTTTGTTTGCAAAAAGGTTTGGTTTTTTTAGAAAGAGTTTTATATGGCACTTGCGACTCAATAAGGTAATATAAGTGCTGAAGACTAGAGAGGTGTTACAAGAGAGTAACAAACGCAAAAAAAGGAGGGGAAATTAAGATGATAGATGTTTGATACTATAGAAAAGAAGAAGCAAACCACACCAGAGCACCCACCAACCACCATTTTTTAAAGCCAGAGTTTCATGGTACTTGCAACACAATTAGGTCATATGAGTGCTGAAGTTTGAGGCATTACAAGAGAGTAACAAATTTTTTAAAAAAGAAAGGAGGGCAGATAACAATGAGATGTGTGAAAGGAAAGAAGGAGCAAACCACACCAGAGCATTTGCCAACCACCTATGTTTCTCTCTTCACAGATCACCACACAAATACAGTCAAACACTTGGTGGTTGCGGGCGCCACTCTGGATGCGGAGAACAGCAACAAGATTCGGCCGATTGATCTGAGTCGTTACAACACAGACACATGGGAAGTCCTCAACGATGCCAAGAAAGGAGATCTGCCAGAGATTGAAGAAGAGTCAGAGGTCCCGGAAATCCCAGACTACGCACTGCCGGACGGAGCCACGTCTAAGAAAAAGAAGTCAGGAAAGGGAAAAAAGGGGAAAGGGAAGGGAAAGGGGAAGAAGAAGGGAAAGAAGGGAGGGAAAAAAGGTGGGAAGAAGAAAGGGAAAAAGAAGAAGAAATAAAGTGTCTTGTGAATGAGCGTTCTATGGGTTTATTTCTGTATTTTTGTTTTATCAGATGTTAAGATTTTCTTTCTAGTCATTGACATTTTATAGGTTCTATGCCCCTTACTAACACTGTAAGGTTATTTAGAAGGTGGGACATCCGAATTGACCATTCATCTCCTTTAGGATCAAGCCAAATGGGTGATGAGCCTTAAAAACTCTTGAAAAACGATCGAAGTTCAAAACACCCCCTTAACGAATCGAACAGGGCCAACTGTTTCATCTGAGCTAATTTGTCTCCTCCACCACTGTCAGTATCAGTATCAGGATAAGAAAGGAAACTGAAATCAGATGCACACATATTGACTGCTCAATGTTAGATTTCATCGTACGTTACTTTTCAAAATGACACATGTCACACTATCACAATAAATGATGGTCATTTTAGTGCTGGAAAAAGGTAAGACAGACAACCAGGAACATTCAAAGGAACGAAAAAGCTATTCAAGGAACGGCAAAAGAATAAGATCTTCGGATATTAGTGACGCTCACCAACTACTTACAGACACTGAACAAATCGACTGTTTAGTGTAAAACTCCGCCATATGTCATTTTGAAAAATGTCATGTGAGTGAGTTTTTGTACAAAGCAGTCGAAATGTAACTGTCCGGTAACAATTCAGGTGTGCATTTCTTTTGTTATTCTCTATTCCTAACATCAGTGTCTGTTATCTATTGGTTAGACTTTTCCAATTTTCTCTGCCAGAATTAGTCCCATCAGCCTCAAGTCATCTTAACCTTTAATTCTTCTAACTCTCCTCTGTGGATGTATTGGGCATCATCAGAATTGACTGACGAAGCTACTACTATTATTATTACCATAGACTTTTCCCCATTGCACATAATTAAAAGACATTAGTTTCATTCCTGTGTGGGTGAGACAATTAACTTTTTTTATCAAGTATTCCCTGTCTGTAAGCAGGAACTCTGTATCCCACTCAGTCTCAGTGGGCCGCGACTAGCTGGGTGTAATTTAGTGTAACAAGCCTCCTGAATGTAAGGCATCATGTTGAAATAAGGTGCTCATAGAAATAATGAAACCAAATCGTTATTTTTTCACCCGATGGACAATTTTATCAAATTTTTGGGTGGTTCAACCCTTCATGTCCATCTAAAAACATATTTTGCTGTGGATTTTACTGAAATACATTGATAAAATATTTAAAAAGTAAATTTACAGTTTCCAAGGACACTATAGCTTTGGAAGTCACCAAACTTTGATACTTCCTCGATAATTTTACCTCTGACACCATGCTACCCCCACCACCCTCAATTGGCAATATCTCAACTTCCATTAAAGATAGATGTGTTTTGTTTCCATCAGAAGAAAGAGAAATGAACAAGCTTTAAGATAATACCAATAATTCCACGAGCTAAAAAATCAACAAGCACCTGATTCCACTGAGTTGTGACAAATGATTTCAACGGGAAGGAGTCGTAACTTGTTTAGAATCAATCTACAGTAGAGTTGGCTTAAACCAAATACAGTCAAACCCCGTTGCTCTAGTAGAGGTTTTACGGTGGTCGCAACTGCATAAGGTGATACGAGCGCCAGAAGATTAGAGGTGTTACAAGAGAATAACAAACATAAAAAAGAAGGGGAGATAAGGACGATAGATGTTTGATAGGAAAGAAGGAGCAAACCAGACCAGAGCACCCACCAACTGCCCATAAACCACCCACAAACCCCGTTATAGCGCCAGGTTTAGTCAATGTGAGATAAGGAATGCCTGCTATACATAGTATTTGCGCCCTCACACCGTCATCTGCCAACTGTTTAGCAAGAGCTGCACTGTATATGTAATTGGTTGCTACTTCCCCCCCCCCCCCCTGAGCGTGGCAATAGCGCAAGACAGATCAAGAGGAGTCAAGACTGGTTTGTCTCTGGTCTCTGTCTCTACCACTACCAGTCTGTCACTAGTACCATTTAAAACACAACTAAACCGAAGAAAATTGACCACCAACGAACAATGTCAACAAGGACAAACAGAACTCTGTACAGTAAGACACTGATGTCACACAGTATCTGACGGTGACAGCACAAACTCATACAAATCGAAACTGTACTATCTGCCGCCTGTCCAAGAAAATCTCCTTTAAAAATAGCCACTTCCCACTTTTCCGTTCGTTTCTATGTGTCACGATGTGATGGAATCAGGCGCTCGTCAATTTTTGGGGACATGGAGTTATTGGTATAATCTTAAGATCTGTTTATTTGGCTTGCTTTGGATGAAAACAATACTCATCTATCTTTAATAGAAGTCAAGATATTTGCAACTGAAGGAGGTGAGGGTCACCCAGTTTCAGAGGTAAAACAAGCCAGAAAATGGCCGCCAAAGTTAAGTGACTTCTAAACCTAGAGAGTCCTTGGAATTTTTGTGCCTTTAATCACCGTTTTTCAGCAAAAACCAAACAGAAATGTGTTTTTAAATAGGCATAAAAGGTTTTGAGCCAAAAAAAAAAAATTGAAAAAAAATTGCCAAAGGGGGCGGAAAAATGACTGTTTCTTTGATTTTATTATTTTGGCGAACGCCCGGTTTCACCACGTTGCCTCTCATATTATCATGACACTGTCTAATACATTCATCAGTCTAAGGCAACCACTTTTTTCCTCAACAGTGCGAGTCTGTCTTGGGCAATTTCGATGTAGTAATAACATCTTGGGTTTCATTCTTGGTAAGTCTTTTGGTACTTGCAACACAATAAGGTCCTCTGCTGAAGACTAGAGGTGTTACAAGAAGGTAAGGGGGAAAAAAAAGGAAGAAGAGAAATAAAGGATGATAGATGTTTGATGAGAAAGAATGAGCAAACTACATAAGAGCACCTGCCAACCACCTGCTCTTAGGTTTTTCAACCACTGCATCAGAATATCAAAAAGAACTCTACAAGAAATTTTCAATTACCAAGACTTTTGACAAAGATGCTTAAAACAGATAAAGATCAGACTATTCGAAAATGTGAAGAAAAATCTACCATTATAAACATACGTTTTGTATTGGACATAACACAGCTATAAAAAAAAAAGAAAAGAAAATTGAATCTTGGAAATGAAGATTTTATTTCAAATTACACATAGATCTATACCACAACAGAAAAAAACTGTGGCAGAAAACTGACACAGACTTAGGAAAACAAAAGCTCAATTTTCTTATGACCAACACTTGACATGAGAGAGAAAAAACCCAATGATACCCCACCTAAAGACCCCATGAAAACCCAACAAAACAACAACAACAAACAACCCAAATTCCTGACAATAGACTGTTTATAAGCGTTTGTAAACAACCAATCATTCAATTTAAAACATTTTACAATGTGATAATTATCAATCCATGTGCAAAGCGTGCACACTTAGCAGTAGAGAGACGCACACACATGTTCATACTCACAAAAGTACACACATCAAATGAGTGCCATGCTCACAAAAGTACACACATAAAACGCACACCAAACTCACAAAAGTACACACATGAACCGTACAAACACGTAGGTGTGTATTACAAAACGAGGTCTAAATTAATCTCTACGCAGTGGGAACTGTTCTGACTTGACACCGTCCTTGGTGATGATGGAGATGAGAATGTTGTCTCCAGTGTAAATGTCGCGCTCTGCAGCGGACGTGAACACATCCTTGACCATGGAGACGCACTTCTTCAACGGGATGGGCACCACTTTGTAACTCTGCTGGTTCTTGCCTCCAATCTGCAGAGAAAGTTTTTAGTTTTTGTAAGAGTTTTAAGACACTTGCAACACAATCAGGTCATACAAGTGTCAAAGATTAGAGGTGTTACTAGAGAGTAACGTACAAATAAAAGATGGAGGAGAGGTCAGGCCGAAAGATGTGTGATAGGAAAGAAGGAGCAAACCACACCAGAGCAGCCGCCAACCACCCACTAGGGAAGAAACAAACACATGCTGATAACTCGTCAGTCCAAAAGATAAATTATTTCTTTCCCAATCAAAAGCAATGAAAAGTACAAAAATAATGAAAATAACAATAATAATGATAATATTAATATATCCATGTGCGCCTGGAGAAAGGTTCCAGTTGTTGGCAAAGCTATTTCTGAGCAGCAGGGTGTTAAGACCAAAAAAGTCGTACCTGGTCAAAAATTTAGTTCAATCAGAAAACACATGTTTAGTCATTTCTTATAAGATATTGTAAGGATTTCATAATATTTTAAGTCTAACTACCGGTATTCTTTTTATCAATTATTTTTGCAACATGTTGTACAGTTTATGCCGGCTTTAAGCACGGTCGTCGGGAGAAAGCATAAGCGTGCTTAATGCCGAAGCGCGCTTGAGTGCGAAGTAAACATTGTTCATAATCCAGAGATTTTTAAGTTGAAAATTTCCTGAGTTATAATACCCTTTGTTCGCAAGTAGTGGTCACGCAAAAGTGTGTGCTGTCATTTTCACCCACCATGGTAGTTTTTGATTGTTTCATTTTGTGGTCGAATCAAAGAAGTGGAGTATCTTCGGTCGAATGGGAAAGGAAAGCTTAATTTAAACAGCCAGTCCCGGGACAGCACACTAAGCCTAGGCTTACACACTTGCCCTAGACTAGATCCTATGTCCATGCGTGCGGCTGTGTGCAGCTCTACCTTCCTCTCCTCGCGTGTCTCCATCACTTGCATTCTTTGTGTTTCTCTTAACACACCGTTGAGGTGTAAACTGCGTTCGAACTTCGATGGGTCATCATGAAAGTATTGACTGTCTTGTAAATGAAGCGTGCCTGAAGCCAGAGTTACCGTGCTTAAAGGCGTGTAATTTATATAGCAAAAATTCTGTAAGAGCCGTTTATCTTGCTCGAGTCCAAAATGTGCTTTATGCCGGCACGGACTGTACTTCATCGAGAGGTAAAAGTGAGCCAGAAGTTGTGTTTTTCTCCAAACTTTGTTTTTACACCCTGTGTTACAAAATGAGGCATATCCATTCAAACTACTCAAGATATTTGAACAATTTTTAATGAGTGTTTTCAGCATTGCATTTGCTATAAAATATGCCCTTGTAATTTCAAATTCAAAATTTCCGACAACTGGGACCTATCCCCGAGCACACACACACATATATAACATTTATATAGCACTCAACCCCAATTAAAACAAACAGGCTCTGAGCACTTTACAATTCAACTGCAACATATAATCAGTACACTGTGTTCCGACCAAAAGAAAATCTCTCTCTAAATCTTCATCTCATTAATTAAAAAAAAGGAAATAGAAACTAAAAAAGCCGAGGGGGGGGGGGGGGGGAGAATATGAAGCAAGACTTATATGTGGCACCTTTCAACCATATCAACAAAAAAAAGTACAAAAAATTATCTCTTAAAATATTTAAAAGAAAAAAAGAAATAGTCTCAGAAAATGATAGCTAAACACACTTACGAGACCAAATTTTTGCCCTCTGTAAAAAAAAATGAGTAAGGAAAATACTCAGTCTGTAAACATGTTTCACATGTAGTGGCAAGACAAATATCACTTAAAAGCGGCACAGCTTCTTGGTAAAAAAAAAAAAATCACCAGAATAGATTTTTTGAGAAGTGGGGTGCTTTGACTCTGCTTGTCAGGGCCAAATCAGGGAGAGTTGGATCAAAACATCCCAGCAGACAGGCAGAACTATAACAAACTTCCCCATTTTGAAAACAAACTCACGTCTTCAGCGTGCACCACCAGAGAGCCTTATTGCTCCACCACAGATGCTGGAAATTTTAAAAAAAATTAAAAAATCACCAACGTATTCAGGTCAAGAAAGGCTTGCCAATGCTATACCTGGTTGTCAAGGAGTGGCTGCAGCATAGCAGAGGCAGAGCCCTTGGCTCTGAACACTTCCCTCTCATACGAGCCGACTGGATCAAAACTGTAGACACAGCCTTTACCTGGAAGAAAGGAAATAAGAAACAGGCATGTTAATCTGACCTCATTATAAGAAAAAACCCAAATCCATTCTGTCAACTATTATGTAACTACACAAGATCCACAAAGCATAAACATCAGCCTCACAACCAGCAAGTTCACTAAGTATGACATTCTACAGAGTTAAATCCAAAGTCTCCGGAAAACCTAGGTATGACACACCAATGCATGTTAAACCAATAAACTCAGGGTGGATGTCTGTCCTATATAAACACAAGTTTGGTCTTGCATACGAACGCTTGCTCTAAAAAAACAACAACGTCAAAACCATTTTTAAAATGGCAGCAAGTTTCCCTTTTTGACACATATTTCTCCATGGCTAAGGACAAGTTAACAATTGTATCCACCTTGGGAATTTTTTCCCCCTCAATATTTAGAATTTGAATGTAAACAAAATATTTTTTTTGAGCCCATGCAACTGATACCACAGAATGAGAAATTGCAATAACAAAATATATTTTCTTTAAAAATCCAACAATTTTGAACTTAGTACATATAACAGCTGGTCAACCATAACTATTTATCATGACACTGTAGAATCAGGCACTCGTCAATTTTTGGGGCATTTGGAGTAACTGGTATAATCTTAAAACTTGTTTATTTATATCTCGTTTTTGAAGAAAAAAAATATCTCTCTTTCTTGGAAAGGAGTTGAGATATTTATGATTGAAGGAGATAGGGACTGCCTGGCATCAGGTAAAACTATCGAGAAAAAAGACACCAAAGTTCGGTTACTTCCAAAGTTATAGCTTGTCCTTGGAAACTGCAAATTTCCATTTTGTTGTGCCTTTACAACATTTTTCAATACAATCTGCGCAAAAATGCGTTTTCACATGAACATAAAAATAATGTGGAGAAGAAGAAAAAAAATCAGCACCAAAAATGCCCACAGGCAGAAAAGCGTCGGTTTCTTCAATTTCAATGTTTTGATGAGAGCCTGATTTTACCACAATGCCACCACAAACGATGAGATACCTTCTTCATCAAGCCCAGCCACGATGTTGTGGGTGTAGTAGGGGAAAAACCGCCTGTAATACAAAATAGTAGACAGCATGGCAGCAACAGATGGTGTGGGCATCGGCTTATTGTGCTCCTTCTCAAATATCTGAAAAGAACAAAAAAAGAATTTAGAATGAAACCAACCTCAACATTTGCTACATGAATAACATGGAGAGACCAAAATAAATTCAACTACAGTGGGTGTTGCATTCAACGAGAAGTCGGCTCCAACGAGACAATCCTTAATCCCCGATTTTTTCCATTTTTGTAAATTATGTATGTTGGCTCCGACGAAGTTGCAAACAGACCGAAGTCGCTTTCAACGAGGTCACGATAACCAAATAAAAGCAATTAGCAGCCGCAAAAGCGAAGAATTTTTCTCCTTTCTTTCCATCTCACACGAAGCACAAGGCCCATCCTCGATTCCTAACACATTGTACTGTTAGAGCTAGTGTGCCTCGTAATATAGGAACGCGAAACAGGCTGTGTGAAACAGGATGAACTCTGGATGGGTAGGTCTAGATCGAGACCTTCATTTGTTTCAATTTTTTTTTCTTTCCCTGACCAGAAAACCCAAGGTCCTGCCTTTACTTTATGTAGATCTAGGCCTAGATGTGAGAGGGTATGTTTCCACACGTGAAGTGTTCCTGAAAAAATTTTTTTTAAAGAAGAAATGACGGTCAGAACACAGCTCAAACACGTGCAAACTGATGCTGTTTGAGATTTTCGTCATCAGGGGAACAACTGTTTTAATTACAGGTATTGGTACATTGTGTAATATAATAACTTGTCTCCTTTCTTTATTTTAGCCTTAGTCTCGTTCAACGAGAGGTCGGATCCAATGAGGGCAACAAGCCGGTCCCGGCAACCTCGTTGAATGCGACACCCATCGTACTTGTAAAATGAAAAGGGGACAGCATCAACAGAGTAAAAACAATAAATTTGATAAGTAGCAATGATTAAAAAGTACAAAGATTGCAGCTAGACAAGAAAGACTGGTCAGGTCTTTCTCTCAAAACTTCAATTAAACTAAGATATTGGGAGACATAATGATAAAATATTATTTCAACAAAACAATACAACTCTTTTTACATGAGCGCACAATTGCAAAAATTCTACAATAATAAGACTACAACAAAGTAAATGCATCCAAAACAGGGATTGAAAAGTGCATGAGAATTGCTTGCCTGCAGTCTTGCTCCAAGAACCTTTGTCAGAGTGAGCACATCTCCATGGAAACCGCAACACCCAAGAACACTACCATTTGATCTGTTGAGAAGAAATAAAAACCCTTTGTAATAGAACACCTTCACTTTAAAGCTGCTACAAAATCAACAGAAAACACCCAACAGAATACACCCTAACAAAAATATTTCTAATTCACACACAGTGATTTTTACAGATGATTAACTTAAAAAAAAAAAACCAAGCAGATAAAATCCAATCCTCTTACGAATCAGATTTTTTTTTAAAATGGTGCTGAAGGCAGACAATAGGAGGATTGTTTACCCTGAGACGGACCATGACAAAATTATTATATCCAAAGTTCATAAACGCCCAACTACGAACTGACTGATAAATCAATCTACTACGTCAAGTTACACAAAATTTAAAAATTTGCACAAAAGAACAGAACACATAATATACTATACACTACCAGCACCCTGACTATGAACTAAGACTCTTAAGTCATAAAAACTAATTGCCATTTGGTCTTTTTGGAACTCGTCTGCTCAAATGAACTTGGATATCCCCCATATATATAATAACAACAGTTTGTCCATCAAAGTCTGACAATGACCTGTGCATCCACAGAGGAGAATATTTCTCAAGCTAAATGGAATAACTAAGTTAAAGATTAAGATGACTTGTGCCTTCTTCCATACAAATGACAGGTACAATGATGAGGAAAATTCTGGGAGAGTAAAGTTTGCCACATTTTGAGCATTCCAAACTTCCACTTCACATTTATACATTTTCCATATATCAAATGATTATAAAATTATAGTAAGTCATTCTCCAAATAATGTGGCTAAAAAAAGGTTTTGATAAAAAAATTGAAAAAATTGAAAAAATACAGAATTACTGTATACTAGAACATCACTTACGAGAATCAGCAAGCAAACCCATTAAGAACACAAATTATACTGTCAAGTTTTTCTGAGCCCTTCCCCTCGTTAAAACAGTTTATTTTGCAACAAGAATGTCCCCTTTCTAGCAAACACTATTCAGAGTAGAATTAACATGACATTTTTAATTCCAAACAGAAATCATAAGTTTTTATTATTAGATTATCAAATGATGTTTGTCTCCTCTCCGTTGACTTTCAACTGCCAGGGATTTTTTTACTATGGTCATCCACACCCTCTCTTCCTCTCTAGCCCACTCCAAAACAGTAATTAAATATATTAGGAATTCAAACAGACTAAAGCAAAATCTAAGAAAAGTATGAAGTTGAAGGCCTTTAACTGTAAAATCAAATACATTACAAAAATGTAAATAAATATCAAAATTTTAACTTTAATTTTTATTTTTACTAACACGTCCCATTCAACAAAACAGAACAGGTAAGAACAGAGATGGTGCGAAAAACTTTAGAAACTTACAGAGGGTATGTCTTGGGGCTGTCTCTGGAGTGAATGGAGAAACCTTGGCTCAATCGGGTGTCTGTGGCAATCAAAGCATAGTCCTCACCAGCGACAGCAAGAATTGTCCTGAAACAAGACATAAAAACCATGAAACTGTAAGTTTTACAGAGGGAAGGGTATGAAGTTTGAAAGATTTGTTGAGAATAAAAGGAAAAGGGAGCCTACCACTGCTACAACCACTTTAAAAAAAGTTTCAGTAAGAGTTTTAAGGAACTTGAAACATAATAAGGTCATATATAAGTGCCGAAAATTAGAGGGCTTTTTAAAAATAGTAGAGGTTTTACGGCGCTCACAACTGCATAAGGTCATCTGAGCGCTAAGGGGTGGATGTTAGCAGAGAAAGTCTTTACAGGGAATCTGGCTTTTACTCTGCTCACCTCTCTAGCTTCAACAGCACAAAGTCTGCTTCGACTATCAAGGCACCCTCGAAATAGTATTTCACAAGAGGGTGTCATACTTCTTCTACAAAAAACTGATGCTTTACTGCACATCTATCATAAAAAGTGCCCATCACGAGAAACCCCCATTTCAGTGTGCATACACACAGAATGGACAAGACAGTCATAGTCTAGATCTAAAATTAGTAGCACCAATAAAAATAAAATTATTTCAAATAAATAAGTTAGTAAGGGGACAACATGCTTTCCAGCACAAACGAGTTCTCCTTTCACAGAGCTACTTTGTGTCAATTGACACATCTAATCATAAATACAAAGTCTGGCAGTACTTAGGTTGGTCCCTAATGCAAACTAAAAATGTATTTACAAATCAGTAGGCCTATATTTTGCTGTTTGTCAGTCTAGCCATAATTATTAAGTACGACCAGCCTAGCCGTCATTAAGTACCGCTAGCCTCTATTAACCTCTTTGCTGCAGCGCCCGTAGAGTTTATGGCCTGAACCATGTAGTCCTGTGCCTATGGAATTTATGGGACTGTGACTGTGGTTGTTTAGATACCAATTATAAGGGAAGTTACTGCTAAAATCTTGTTCTTTACTGGGGCACCTTCCCTTGAAGTTTACCTCCATTTTCCCCCCCATTTGAAAACGTTAGATTCAGGATACTTAAGCCCGAAGAGAAGACTAGATCTAGATCTAACACATCTCTACCACACAAAAATTCCCCCCTTACAAACTTTTAATGAATAGACTACGCTACCGATCGGAGATTCTTCAATGAAGAGAGATTAAAAACTCGAAGTGGCTAACCGTACTTAGATCTAGGTTTGGCCCTATCGACTCAAACCTGTTGAGTACACAGGTCTCATTAGATCTAGATCTAGTAATTATTCAGGTTTAAAATACATGCAAGTCAGTAAGGCACCTTTTGGTTTTCTCTGAAATACAAATACTTTAGCCTTAGCCATTGCAAACTAAAAATTTCATATTTACAATTCAGCCATCAATACTAAGTACGGCTAGCCTGCCAGTCTAGCCATACTTATCTTTGGCCCTATTAACATTAGAAAACAGGTCTCATTAGTCATTATTCAGGTTTAAAAACATATGTCAAGCGCCATTTGCCGATCAGCGTGATCACGCAGAACCATATGACGATCCGCAGAAAGCGTGGCCATCTCAAGATGGGCACGACGCGCCATCACACACAAACCAACAATTTTGTAAAGTTCACAAACAAAACTCCGCAGAATTTATTATCACTAATTTCAAAAATTTTTTTTAAAAAGGTTCAAGAGGACGCAAGTATTACTTGCACATACAGCCTTTCTCTTTTGACTTTTTGCATTTCCTTTCAAAGTGCTTCGCTTTTCCCCTTTCATTCAGGGTTGCCACATTATTTTTCGGTCTCCTGCCAAACCAACATTCAAAAACTGGCAAATGCATAAAAAAAGCCAAATATAAAAAAGTTAATCAAGTAGTGAGGGTGGGTAAAGCATTTATAATAATATGCTATACTATAGAAGACTATAGTTACAGTATGATACTTTAAAAAAGAGAAAAAAAAAAAGAAGAAAAGCGTGAGAAAAGAAACACCATGAAAACAAATAACTGTGTCTGGGGTAGAGGGGAGGGGGTGTGTTTGTGTGTGTTTCCAAGCGATCGGCAGATTGCGCAATTTCTGCTTGCTTTGCACAAATCTTAACATCGAGCAGCTCTATTCATTTTTGGAAATAATCCGTAGATGGTGCGCCCATTTCGAGATGGCCGCGCTTTCCGTGGATCGTCATATGGTTCTGCGCCATCTTAAGATCCCGCTGATCGGCAAATGGAACTTGACACATTTACGGCACCTGGTTTTATCTCATTTACAAATACTTTAGGTACTGCAAACTAAAAAATTATTTACAATTCAGTAGATCTAGGCCTTTTTTTGGGGTCAGTCTAGCCATCATATTAACCCTGGAAGCGCACAGGCCCTATATAAAGGGCGTGAGGCGGGCTATCCGGGAAGCGTGCACGCCCTTTATAAAAGGCTGACCTACTTCGACCGGGAAGCGCGCAGGCCCTGTATAAAGGGCATAGACGCTGACCCTTTTGAATGGAAAATTCCAGTGTTCCTTATATGGAAAGGCTATTGTTAGGGGACCGTACGCCCCAATAGCGCTTGGCGCTAGGGGACCGTACGCCCCCATAGTGTTTGGCGCTAGGGGACCGTACGTCCTTTGCGCTGAGGCTTGGTGTTACAGGACCGTGCGCAGATACGTGCATGCATCCAAAAATACTGGAGGAAAACGGCCAGTTTAACGAAGTTCCTGACGTAAGGAGTTATTACCAAGAGAATGTTTAAAATATCTGAATATGATTGTGAGGTATCCAATGGCCGTGGGTGAACCAGTATTTTAAAAATTTGCTCACGTCTGCACCCAAGTTGTTATGTGTCAATAAAAGAAATCAAAGAGAGGGAGGGGGAGAAAGAGAGAGAGAGAGAGAGAAAGAGAGAGAGAGAGAGAGAGAGAGAGAGAGAGAGAGAGAGAGAGAGAGAGAATTTATGGAAAGCTATTAGATTGAGAAGAGATCATTAATCATGTAACGCCTTGGGTGGAATATGAGTTAAGAGTACAAATTAAATTAAATTAATAGTACACCAACTTACGCCTATAGTGCGGTCAAAAATGCACGCGCAACTTATTGTGAAATATCTCCTTACCTATCGAACATAGATTCTCCAACTTTTGCACAGTGACTTATATCAATTTGTCTTAACAGGGGGATATTTTTTCAAACTCCTGCACACTGTATTCTAGAAAATTCCTTAATAAGTACTAATAAAAAAAATCCCAGTCGATTGTTTCTACAAATTAAAAAAAATTACAGCTCAGGCAATATTGCTTTTAAAAGCAAGTCTGTCATTTTTTTCCAATCGCAATAGCATGCATGTTTATTGAACGTATGTTTAGGAAACCTTTAGTGTAAAAAGAATGTGAAAAAGTGTAATTTAATTGGCGAGCTAAGACGTAGGCCATATTATGCATATGCAAAATGTGTGAGAGAAGCGGGAAGTGCAATGAACAATCACATTTTTCGCATGATGGAGATTTATAGGCCTAGTATTTTATATAAATTTATGAAGAACATCTTTTTTGATAGAGCCTCAATTGTTGTGAAAAAACATAAACAGTTAAGACCTTTTTTTTTATACAAACTGCTGTGCAAAGTATGGGTGACATTGATTCTCCGGTTAAAGAGATATTTGAGGAAAAGTTGAGCCACGAATTTTTGACTGCACTATAGTTACACGACACCTGCGCGCAAAAGTAGTCCAGTTATACTAATGTTGTTTTATTATTAATGTGGACAGGCGTAAAATATTATATGTGATGCGCTTGCAAATTAACTTTATTTCGTCTGTGCTTGGTTCACAACCCGACGTTCTGTCAAGTCTCTACAATAATTTACTTCGCTTTTCATCTACCTTTTCCAAGCTGTCTTCTTTTTCCTTTCTTTTCATGTTATTATTGTTATTGTCACTGAATATGAGTTGATCTTCCGTCTTGCTCGCTATCAAGACTTAGTGCGTGCTCAGGCGTGTTCTCTCATGCAAAAGTGAGTAAATTTGCGGCGTTTACTAGCGTCATTAAATGGGGCTTAGGGGCCTATTTCTTTTAGGTCGCAAAGCTTAAAAATGTACTCACGTCTGCCCGCAGAATGCACCTGCGCACACACACTATTATCATACTCATTTTTGTCACAACCATTCCCTTTGTGTAAATTTGTTCATCTCTTTTTTTCTCTCACGAACACCCCCCCTCCCTCATCTCTCTCTCTCTCTTTCTCTCTCTCTCTCTAACACACACACACAAACACACACACATACTCACACTTTTTCTCCCTCTCTCTCTCCCACTCCTTACTTTCTTTCTTTCTCTCTTTCTTTCTCTCTCTCTCCCACTCCCTCTTCTTTCTTTCTTTCTTTCTTTCTTTCTCTCTTCCATTCTGTCTGTTTTTCACACACACACACACACACACACACACACACACACACACACACACACACACACACACACACACACACTCACACACACACTCACACACTCTCTCTCTCTTTTCTCTCGCTCTCTCATTTCTCTCTCTCTTTCTCCCCCTCCCTCTCTTTGATTTCTTTTATTGACACATAACAACAACGTGGGTGCAGACGTGAGCAAATTTCAAAATTTGGTTCACCCACGGCCACTGGATCTAGATACCTCACAATCGTATTCAGATATTTTAAACATTCTCCTAGTCCTAGTAATAACTCCTTACGTCAGGAGCTTCGTTAAAGTAACCGTTTTCCTCCAGTATTTTTGCAAAGTCCAGATGCATGCATATCTGCGTACGGTCCCGTAACACCACGCCTTAACGCAGGTAGGACGTACGGTCCCCTAGCGCCAAACACTATGGGGGCGTACGGTCCCCTAGCGCCAAACACTATGGGGGCGTACGGTCCCCTAGCGCCAAGCGCTATTGGGGCGTACGGTCCCCTAACATCAGCCATATGGAAAATGACGTAGTCAATTACAGGCCAAAGTTATAAATAGTGACCAATGACTTTGCAAGTTATCTTGACCTCGTAGAGCGTCTCTTGGCCGAAATATTGATCGATAAAGAAAGTGACGTGGTCCCGCTGAGCGACTACACGCTATGTGTTTTGTTTCGCCGTGCTGATGTACTAATTGTTGAGTCTATCGCATTCTCGGCTTTGTTTGTATTTATTTGATCGCTGATCATTTTTGAATAGCTCATTCTATCAACTTAAAGATGTATGCTTTTATAATTATAATATGCTTTTTATCATCCGTTGAGCCGTAAATGGTCATTTTTCAGTAGCAGGTATACATTTCGGGTATCTCAGGAGCTGTTTCTCCCCCTCCCCCCCGCCAAATCCCCATGTTTACAACTGATCGGCCGTGGCGGCGGGGCATTTTTGGCAGGTTACTTCCGGTGAAACGCTGAGCGCTTCTATTCTTGGGCTAAAAATAAGTACGGCTAGCCTCTTCCTTAAAAACTGGGAAAAATCATGAATTCCACAGGCAGAGGAAGGTTGTCGAGACATCTAACATGCAATTTAAGTAGATCTAAGATCTAAAGTAGTAGTAGAACCTAGATCTAGACATCTAGAATGTCTAGATTCTAGATCTAGACTCTAGAATCTAGATCTAATCTAGATATATAGATAGATAAACTAGATTCTAGATCTATATCTAGATCTAGTCCTAACCTAATCTGCTGGTCTGTTATTCTTCAGGCCACCTCTATTCTCACCCGGAGTGAGAATAGTGCAGGCGAGTCTTGTGGCTATTCTCACCCGGTGCGCGTTCACCCTAAACTGTGATAACAGAAAAATTGTAGAATTCTGTGCCGTGAACAAACGTTCCATTACAACTGTAGCCTACTAAAAGCGTACAATTTTGTCTGTGGGCAGTGGAGAGAGAGAGAGAAAGAGAGAGAGGAGTAGCGCGAGAATATCCGGGCAAAACAAAATGGCGACCCGCGTAGTTCGGCTCGATTCGAAAAGTTAAATAGCCGTAGCATCTTTGTAGACAACCAATTGTGTTTTAACATCATTTTTTAACTTTGTTTTGGTCAATTTGATTGTCCACACCGATAGACATTATTCAGAAAGAGACAGAGAGAGAGAGAAGAGGGGAGGAGTTGATCTTGCGAGAACTTCCGGGCGGGTGAGAATAGCCACTTTCTATTCTTCAACCTTACCCTATCATATTATTTTCAATTAAATTTAGGCTACTGCGACAAAGCTGAGTCAGTTAGATCTAGATCTAGATCTAGATCAGATCTAGAATCTAGATTAGATCTAGATCTAGATCTAGAATCTAGATCTAGAGATCTAGATTTTTCTAGTCAAGTAAAACCAGCCAGGCTTCTCTCTGCTACCACACAACTCGACTTGTCAGTTCTTAGAGATCTATCTGCAAACTTACCCGCCATTGAACTCGTATGGGCTGAAAGAAACTTGGTTTGGAGCTTGATAGTCAGACAGAGGATTAGACATCATATTCGGAACAGACATCATGGTTAAAATATTCCAAACAGAACAGGTTACAGGCTACAACTTGAGTCTCTACAACAACACTCCGATTTTGATGAAATGAAACTGCAAAATTTGGAGAAACGGAAGTGGAAGGAGATAATGTCTTTTGGCCTACGACCCGGAAATAAAATCAAAAGGCTTCTTTTTTTTTTAATAATCGTAGGCCAACAGTTAACATATTACCGGTCAATTGATATTATACAGCTCATCAAAATATCAACAAAATATTTTTTTTTCAATCTGTCTCGACACTATAGAGACACAAAAAGCTTGTAATAATGCATTGATTAGTAAACCCTCTTTAGAGATGGAGTTAGAGAGTTTGTAAAAGATTCGATTTTATCCCCTTGAAAGTAGAAGATGATGTCAGACAGGGGAAGTAATTCAAGTAACTTCAGCCTTTGCTCAGTTTGTTTAGCCCTAGAGTAGAATCTAGTGTTATAATTAGGCTATCCTACCTGGTTAGGTCAGTGCCGCAGCTCCAGGCCTGAACTCCTCGCCCAAATGAACCCAGTCTTTGTAATTCCAGGAAAGCGCTATGGTTCCTAGATATCTTTGAGAGGTATGCACGATGTTGAATTCGAGGAAAGGCTGTTTGAATTCATTGCTCAATTTCGTGATACATGACATGAGATAAAATAATTGAAGGGATAGAGCCTGTCATGTTCATAAATCGTAACGACTTCTCAACCAGCAAGCACTTGGGCTACGTTTAATTGCAGACTGACTACGTTTCTAGAGATGTGGATCTAGATTTACGTCTAACCCAGATCTAGATTAGATATCTAGATCTAGATATCTAGGCCTACATCTCGATCTACTCTCCAATGGATTTAGAGTAGAGAGAGCAATGGCAGTGATTATTCTCACCCATGGTGAGGATAAACTGGATATAATTATTATACATTGATACTATTCTCAGAATAACAAAACCACAGCCTACTATTCTTACCTGTTTTTTTCATTTCGGACATCATAGGGCCCCTGTCACCGAGCGCTCTAGGCGACAAAACTCGCCCCCCCTCTCTCACTCCGCTGAGCGCGCGAGGCGATTAAAATCACCAATGGGCGGGCCAGCTCTCGAGTGCGGTAGGCGACTGTTGTCGATTTGGGGAAAGAAAGTGGCTATTCTCACCCGCCCGGAAGTTCTCGCAAGATCAACTCCTCCCCTCTTCTCTCTCTCTCTGTCTCTTTCTGAGTACTGTCTATCGGTGTGGACGATCAAATTAACCAAAACAAAGTTAAAAAATGATGTTAAAACACAAAAGTAAATTAATTTGGTTGTCTACAAAGATGCTACGGCTATTTAACTTTTCGAATCGAGCCGAACTACGCGGGTCGCCATTTTGTTTTGCCCGGAAATTCTCGCGCTACTCCTCTCTCTCTTTCTCTCTCTCTCTCCACTGCCCACAGACAAAATTGTACGCTTTAAGTAGGCTACAGTTGTAATGGAACGTTTGTTCACGGCACAGAATTCTACAATTTTTCTGTTATCACAGTGTAGAATTCTGTGGTTTAGGGTGAACGCAAAATTTGGTGAACGCGCACCAGGTGAGAATAGCCACAAGACTCGCCTGCACTATTCTCACTCCGGGTGAGAATAGAGGTGGCCTTGGGCTTGGGGAAAACCTTATCTTCTTATCAAATAACATCACCTTTTGTTGCTACAGTGTTAATTTATTGGTTCTCTAATGGAAAATTTAACTCTTGAATGGTTTAACCAATCAAAATTAAGAAAAAAAATAAGCCTAGGGTCAAGGCACTCCGTTCCTGAAAAATAATCGTGGGTTCTGCTAGGGATAACAATTAAATTTGTTTTTTGTGTAAAAACAAATGCCAATTCTAACATTACAATTCATTATTAAACAGCTTTCAGTTTCAGTTTAGGCTATTAATTATTATTTTTAAAAACATACTACTCTGGCAAATGAATTCCTCTCTGAATTTAGAATATATAGATCTATTTACACTTGTCTAGGGTTTTGGTGAAGATATACAGTGGAACTCGGATTCAACGAGGTCGCCGGGCCTGACCTAAAATTTCGTTGAATCCGAGTGTTCGTTATGGCAAACACGAGGTTCTGTGTAGATAATTACAGGCACTGAGCAAGTAATGTATATTTATATAAAGAGAAGTCACAAGTAGTGCCTGAAATGCCTGCATATTATGAGCTGTGTAAAAAAAAAAGACCGATTCGTTCAAATGCACTCCTGTGCCATCTCGATTGTTTGCCAACAAAAAGTTGTGTTGATGTGCAGAGCCTAGCATAACGGCAACTTTTAATTCCGTAGACCAGCGCACAATTCATTACGAAGATCTACGTCAAGACTAGCTTATCATTGTAATACAGTGTAATGATCAGTTGCCGAGGGGAAAAAAGACTGTGACGCGTTTGTATCTGTGACGTTCAAAGCCCGGACCCCCCCCCTCCCCGACACACACACACACAGTCACACGTGTGCCGCCATCCGACCCCGATACACGCCAGAGTAGACTTGTGCGCGAGCCAGCAACACATGTGTTAGTATTGAAAAAAGGCAGCTGATTGGTCACATGCAACCGACTAAGTGAATAATGGTACACGATGCAGTTGCAATGGAGGGTTTCGGGGAATAGATAAAGTTGGTTCTGGGAGAAAAATGAGCCAAGCCACATCTGCGGGGGCTGTTCACCATGGAAGCGACCTCGTTGAATCCGAGCTCGCTGATATAAATGCTCGTTGTATCCGGGTTATTTTTATTGATTTTAAAGAAGAAAAAAAACGGGGAATTTATCTGATCTCGTTGAATCCGAGTTCTCATTGAATCCGAGTTCCACTGTACGTGCATACTCTCAACTCAAGATTTAAAAAAATGAAACTATAACAATCCCCGCTGGAGCCTAGAAAAATTGGCCAGCACACTGGGGCAGGTCACGAACGGTCACTCTCTTACAATTCACAAATTATTTTCTATCATGATCCATTCTCAACACCCAGGGTAGATCTAAAAATCCATTGCATTCTCAGACCGGGTGAGAATAAAATATAAATATTTTTATTTTCACCCCGGGTGAGAATAACGATAGCCAATAACTAGTTCTAGATCTGATCTAGTCTAGATCTAGACTCTAGACCCTCTAGATTCTAGACCTAGGCTAGCTGTAATGTCTTGTTTCATTTTAGGCTTTAAAATAATTGGCCAGCTCTATTCGGACTCGAGTCCAAATGTAATTTTTATCTATTCGGACTCGAGTCCATATGGGTTTTATCTCGGACTCGGGTCGGAAAAAAATGGGTTTTTTTATTCGGACTCTGCTTCTAAGTGAGTTATAATGTGAGTGTAAGGAGGTTACACAGGGTTGGTGATTTTTTAAATTTTTATTTCAAAAATCAAAAAAATCGATTTTTTGGATTTAAATCACATTTTAAAAATTTAAATCGGATTTTTTTGATTTGTTTAAAAATGTCGACACAGTTTGGGATTTTTGGTGGCTAAAAGTATGTTATTTTAGTGCAGAATGCATTGTCTTTATTTTAACTAATGATTAATATAAGCAACTGCAAAAGAAAGCCTTAATCTGCTATTATCAGTGAATTATGGCTACAGACAAAAAATGAAGAAAATGTCAGTCTAAAAGGAAAGGGGGGGAGGGGGTAATTATGCATAGATAAACTTGTATTTTATTACAGTGTGCGTGTGTGTGTGCGCGCGCTTGTGTTTGTCTAAAAAGAAAAAGAAAATGCTAATTTCAATTATGTAAAAAAAAGTAAATTGAATACTGTATTAATTTACTACTTACAGTGACAGGGGGGGGGAAAGCAGACTTTTAAGCATGATTATATTAGTCTACTAAACCTTATATCTGTTTTATAAAACCAAGGAAAGGAATTCTGAATGTTTAAATATATATGTAAAAACAAAATACATTTTTAAAAAAGTGATTTAAATCACAAAATCAAGTTGATTAAAATTTAAAAAATCAACTGATTTAAATCAACCCAGCTCTGATTTCAATTATGGGGAAAAAAGTAGTAAATTGAATACTGTATTATTTTACAGTGAAAGGGGGGAAAGCAGACTTTTAAGCATGATTATATTAGTCTACTAAACCTTATATCTGTTAAATAAAACCAAGGAAAGGAATTCTGAATGTTTAAATATATTAAAAAACTCAAAATAATTTTTAAAAAAGTGAGTTAAATCACAAAATCAAGTTGATAAAAAAAAAAATCAACTGATTTAAATCAACCCAGCTCTGATTTCAATTATAGGAAAAAAAAGTAAATTGAATACTGTATTATTTTACAGTGAAAGGGGGGAAAGCAGACTTTTAAGCATGATTATATTAGTGTACTAAACCTTATATCTGTTTTATGAAACCTAGGAAAGGAATTCTGAATGTTGAAATATGTAAAAACTGAATAAAAATAAATTTTTTAAAAAGTGATTTAAATCACTGATTTTTATTTAAAAAATCAAGTTGATTTAAATTTAAAAAATCAACATCAACCCAACCCTGAGGTTACATTATATAAATGTCGTCGGGGCATTCTGCGTAAAACCAGAATTAAAACTAGAATTGCCTACTGGGACTGTAATTGTGAAAAAAAAAAGTCAAAGGACTGCACTCTCATTCTACCCTATGGCAGTGTCTAAGTACCCTGGGGTGTCGCGGGGAGATACAGACGTCTGTCTGCAGCAGTCGTGTGGCCTGTAGGAGAGACATCCCATGATCTCTAAGGGTGTCTGCCACAGATTCACTCCATGGCACTTTGTTGTGTGTTATAGTTTTTCTGTAATTATTTTTTTTATTACATCGTACAAAATCGACAGCCGCTGCTTCTTCCCAACACATCTTCCCCTGGCAAACCAAGATTTGAGATCGTTACGCGCAATCTCATTTGTTGACATAATTAACTTTGCCTCCGGCGAGATCAGCTCAACTTAGTTGTTCTGTTCATACTAATGATGCAGGGAGGATGGCCAGTTTAGATAGGTCTAGTTACTGGATATTAAAGCTCACGTCTCGACTGTTCTTTACAATCGGAAAAAAAGTTCGTACATGGCTGGAAATATTTAGGAACGAGTCGGAAGTCGAAACAGACGTCATGCTGGACTCAATTCAGGGTCCGAATATAATTTTTCTCTACTCGGACTCGAGTCCGAATAAGAGGGGAGTGTAGGGGAAGGGGGGGGAGAAGGGAAAATTAATACCACATTGAACCACTTGCATTGGTTGGGTTCAGAGTTTAAATGATGGATGTAAAAAATTTAAGGAAGATCTGTAACATTTTAAAAAAAATGAGAACAGTTACTGAGTTACAGTTGTTGGCCTTTGAAGATTATAATTTTATTTTATTTTAGAGATCGTGTGTGTGTGTGTGTTATTGTTAATATTGATCAGGCTCACTTGTGCTCCAAAAAATGTACTCGTCCTACTATTTGGCAAGAGCGACACTCTGTGTTGTTCCCAGTTTCCACTACTTACTATGGACTAGAAACACACCTCTCTTCCACAAAATGATACAACAAACATTATTTCATTTCCACCTCCCTTAATTCTTAAAAAAGAAATAAACAGTGTATCCTATCAGTCAAGTTAAGATTTAGATGAGACAAGAGAACTTTCTTTTTTTATGTTTATGAGAATTGGAAGTTTGAAGATCTGTAGTTATTGAGTAGCAGCATTTTGTTATAGATTAGCTTTAGTAGTTTTTACAGTGCTTGCAACTGCAGCACCATTTTGTATGATCACCCACAATTTTTTGATATTTTAGAGTTCATTCATCATGTCATTTTCAAAATCAAGGTTGTATTTGAAAATAAAACTTTCCTTCTTCATTTTGTCTCATTGTTTTCTCTTGTTTTAACTTAGCACTTAGCTAGTTTTACAAGACTTGCAACACAAACAGGCAGGTCATAAATGGGATGAAGATTTGAGAGGTATCTCTAGTAGAGATACCCGGATGTATACAAATGAAATAAGGTGGGTACACATTTAAAGGATGATAGAAAAGATAGTGAGGAAAGAAGGGGTAAACAACACCTGAGCACCCGCCAACCATCCACTGTGCTGTCAAAAGGTATACAGTTTATTATTCAAAAGCAATCCAACTTCTTGTGCCAGAAAAATCCGTAAAACCACAAAGTATGGAGATGACGGTAAGCTTAGTGACTATTAGTTAATTAGTATTCTCAAACGGGCTTCAGCGCATTCCACTACAACTTTCTAATTTTAATATTTTAAGGAAATTGAAGTACTGATATTTTGGTGCAGTAGAGTTTATAATGTCACTTTCACTACCTGTCTACATGCCAATTACACGACTCATGAGTCACAGTCGTTAAAACTTGCACCACACTTGTAGCAGAACTGAAGTTTAGGGAATGCCAGTTGAATTACACATTTGTGGACATTAGATTATTATAGTAAAATTAAGAATATTCTAATAAAAAGAACAAAGAAAGTAAATTACAACAGCTGCTCTCTACTCATTGCAAATAACCCTGCTTTGTGCAGTAGAAGACCACTTTACTTTGTACTTAATAAATAAGCTACTTTGCTTTTGGAGAAAGTATGTTTTATGACTTTAGAAATGAATTTTCAACATTAGACTTTAGACCCTAGTTGTTTTACCTTGTTGTTTCGAAGATGGTCTCTGCCCAAGGTCCCAGTCTAACAAATACTTTTTCTTTGTGGGACTTTAGATGAAAACTAAGTGTCCATACTTTTGCAGAATTGCCCTCTACTTTTGCAGAATTGCCCTCTAACTTGATGCCTTTTGTTGTTACATTTCAGTTCAAAATGGCACTTCAAGTCAATGCTCCAGTTTTCAACGAGAATGGAGATCGTAAGGCAGGCGGTTTCTTCCCCGGAATTTTCTCAGCAGGCTTTGATCATAAATTTTTATGTTGTCACTGCCACTGCATCTTGAGAGATCCAATACAGGGTTATTGTGGTCACCGATTCTGCCGAAGCTGTAGAGATGAGCTCCTAAGGTAGTTTTTTTTTATTGGGGGGGGTGCGTATGTTAAATTTTCGGTCTTCTTGATTTACTGTTCAAATTTTTTCTATCATTTAAGTATTTTTGTTGTATTAAAGGAGCAGGGTATATTTCCTTGCTGATTTTTTTCTACCTGTTGTGTAGCTTTTTCCGAACACTGAATGGTCATTATTGTGTTGATGTGCTTCTCTTTACTTACTCACTCTCTCCCTATACCGTCAGGTACATGTGGCGGAGAGCAGTAGATGCCACGCTTTTCTGTAAATGGCGACCTCCTCCAATTTCGGCAAATCCAGGCCCTGGGTGATTGCCTCATCCCTTATTGTGCTTCTATAGCTTTCAGCTGGTCTTCCTCGTTTTCTTTTTCCAGTTGGTTTCCAATACCATGTCTGATTGGGCAATATTGTCTTCGGCATTCTTAGAACATGTCCTCTATATCTCCTTCTTTTCTTTTTTATGGTTGTATTGATATCTTCTCTTTACTCAAACTAAACTCATAACTGCCGACCACTATGTAAAAAAAAAGTATTTAATACGTTTTTAGGGGTTCAAGTATAGAAATCCATTTTTGTATCAGAAACTACTTGATATTTTCTGGTTTCTAATTTTGCACCTGATGGACTTGCCGATGCTGGAAAAAATTGAAGAACTTTCAAGACTAGAGGAGACTAGAGGTGCAAATAATTGTGAGAGTAAAATCCTTAACACTGTGCAGTCACACAGCCACCAGTACAAAATACTCCATCTGGAGGGATCTTTTTCCCCAGGTCTACTTTGAATATTCAAGTTTATTTAGCTTGAAATTTTTTAATGCAGAGTGGTGTGTATGAAGGGTTTGGAGGGGGGGGGTGGGGTTACTTGGCCAATGCTCACCGTCTTGACCCATCCCAAGGGTAGAGACTTTTTTTTAAAATTGATAAGTTGGTAGCTATGTAAACTGATGTTTTCACTATTTGAATGTATGAATAATCGTGTCATTGTAAACTGCATCTCTACACTCGGATCATCTGTGTCTGAATTTGTTTCCTTTTCCTTTTGATTTCTCAGGACCCAAGATTCTAATTTACTGAACTGCCCAGGATGTGTGGAAGAGAATGTTGGCCCTCAGGAGATGGGGAAAATATCAGAAAATCGGGTAAAGGTTCTTGAAATGCCAATCACATATGTGAGATTGGTTGATAAGATAAGTTACTTCTCACAATCGCCGACTGGAGATATCCGCTGAAAATTGAGCATGGTTAAGAGTTGTAGATTTTTATTTGAAGACACTTTCTCCAAGTTTAACACCGCGTCTTGTATCATTTCATACTAACAAAATAGTACATACTCTGCCTATAGATTTGACATATCTTTTTCCTTAGGCCCAAAATCTGAGAAGTAACTCATTTTGTCAGCACGTCTCACATTGACAATGAACCATTCGCGGCATGATGGATTGCAGGAAATACTAATTTGAGATCCCTCTTGCACTGTACCGAACAGTTATACTTTGTGCCATTCGTGCATTCACTTTCAAGTGTATAGAGTCTGATTTTTTAGGGTATGTATATAATATTATACAGTGGAGTCCTCTTAAACCAAAATCTGGGGGAATCACCAGATTTTGTTAAGTTCAGGTGGGTTTTTGATTTTGAGAGATTGCTTACATTTACATAGAAGAAGAAAAAAAACATCAGGGATTTTATTTCCTTTAAATTCACCACTGTTTTCAGATTGAACGTGTTTGGTGTAAGCTGACTTGACCATATATAAATATATATATTAGAATCTATATGTGTGTGTGTGTGTGTCATGGCTCAGTGGAATCATGTGGAGTTATTGGTATCATCTTAAAGCTTGTTCATTAATCTATCGGTCAAGATGCTTGCGATTGAAGGATGTGGGGTCGCCTGGTTTCAGTGGTAAAATTAGCAAGAAAATGGCCGCTAAAGTTTAATATCTTCCAATAGCTTGGGTAAAATTCATATGGAAATATGTTTTTATATGGACATACAAGGTGTTGAGTCAAAAAACAACAATTTGATAAAAGTTGCCAAACTGGCAGAAAAATGCCTGTTTCTATATATTTCATTATTTTGACGAGCACCTCATTTCTTATATTTATTTCATTTATTTATTTTTTAAAATATTTTTTTTTCAAGATAGCTTCAGCTTTGGAAGAGAGTTGTTTGTTTACATCTCTTTCCAGGATAGGATGCTTGCTGTCCTGGGCCCTGCTCCACATGGTTCTGTGTTTGTGTGATGGGAGGGATTTGCTTGAATATATATTAAAGACTGGAAAGGGAAAATATTTTTGTATGTTTAGTAATGAGGAAAAAGTTGTATTAACGGGAGGAGCTACCCTTGAGGACCATTTTCTATGTTTGTTGCCCGAGATCAAATCTATGTACACATATAAGTTAGACATAGTAAAATCTTTTGATACGCAATTTTGTTTTGGAATAGCTACTGCGGTTGCTATGGAAACGCCCGCCATCTTGAAAATAAACAATGAATTTCAAATCCCTAAGGCTTTCTTATTTACAGACCAAATTTGACCAAATTTGGTGAGAGTATACCTGAACCAGACACTATCAGAGTAACAGCAAGTTTTTTTGAATCATTGCAAAAGAAAAAAAAAAAAGAAAGAATTTTCCCAAGTATAAAAAAACTTTTTCTAAATTTAGGTTGCGTAATCGCTTGCCATCTAAGTTTCCTGAAAGTTTCATGTCAAAAGGATGAAAACTAAGGAAGGAGTAGGGAAAAAACTGCAAAAAAACTACATTTTGTGAAAACCGACAATAATTGTGAAAATTCACTATATTAATCTATCCTCATGTTTTTAAAGGCAATTTACCTGGAGAATAAAGTTTTCGCAACTGTATTCATGCTATTTTTAGACAAAAAAACTAGTTGATCTTCAAAAATCAGCCAACATAAAATGTGCATGGCCTGACCCAAAATCTGCAAAATCAAGGGTCGCTCCTCCCCTTAACAGTAGTTAGGTAGTTTTTTCATCTTAATTTTTTTGGTGTTAATTTGTTATTTTTAGGGGATAACTTTCTCCTGTGCCAATGCCTTTGGTGGAACAGGTTAAAAGAATGAGTGAAGATGTCATATATGCCTCTGGAGAAAAGTGTCAGAAAGCCAGGTTGAGGGGTCAAATGCCTTTGAAAAAAATATTTTTCAGTATTTTCAGTCTCTATATTCCCTTTTTTTTTCTCATCAGATGTTTCCCGACAATGCCGTAAGGCGAGAAATGTACAACATGGCTGCTGCCTGTGTGTTTCCTGGATGCACATGGAGAGGAAAATTCAGAGATTATGAAGTAAGTTGTCGCGCCTGTAAAATAGCAGCTTGCACTGTATGCCTCCCAGGAAGTTGAAAATGTTTCAGAATGCTATTAAATAATTATGCTGGGGTAATAGTATGGATTGAAAAAGCGCATGGAGCTTGCTTTTGAGAATGGGGATTTGCGCGATACAAATGCTGTAATCTAGTTTTCTTTCTTTATGAAACTAGGGTATTACTTTTTTCTGCACTCAATGACAGCCGTTAGGTTGACTGCCAGGCCCTGGAATAGCCAGGAAATTTCCTATAAAATCACCAAGACTGGGGAATGACCCGAGATTTCCATAAAATTGTAACGACCTTGAAATGCCCAGGGAATTTGAGGAATTCTGCAAAATGCCCAGAGAAAACTCATTAAGCTTTCCAATATTTCTAAACCAAATCTAAGGTCGTATGTGTCTGGTCGTGTGTCTTGTGGTATTCATTTGGTCTTTTTCCCAATGTGCGAGTGCATTCGGGGGAAATAAGTGGCCGTGGCAGAAATGCACTTGGGCTATATTGAAGCTGGTCAGTCTTGATCGGAACAAAACCAATATATGTGAGGCATCGTGGTGAAATCTGACGCTTGTCAGAATAATGAAATCTAAGACATCAGCATTGGCTGATTGACCATTTTTTTTCTTATTTTCTCTTTTTGGCTCAACACCTTTTATATCGATTTAAAAACACATTTTTGTGTGGAATTTACTGAAATACATTGATTAAAGGCACAAAAAATGTAAATTTTCAGTTTCCAAGGACTATCAGGTTATGGAAGTCACCAAACTTTGGCAGCCATTTTCTCGCTAATTTTACGTTTGAAACCTGGCGACCCTGACCTCCTTCATTCGCTAATATTTCAACTTCTATTCAAGGTAGACATATATTTTTTTCCCCTAAATGGAAGTCGATTGAACAAGCTTTAAGATGATGCAATACATACCAAAAAATTGACAAGCGCCTGATTCCACCACGTCGTGACACATATTATGATGTTAAGTCCATGTGTCTCTCTTCTCTAACGATTTATTTTACTTTAGTAACTTTAATGTTATCACTTGCTAGGTTTTGGTTCAACTTTTACAAAATATTGTTAGAAAACTATTACAAAATAAATATTGTGCAAGGAAAATGCAGAAGTTTGTGTCTGATCTGTTACAAGATATCACAAGAGGAAACATGCTGAAGTTTTAGGTGTTGTTCATC